GAATAAACATGAAAAACAAGAAATAAATTACTTAACCAATCTTCATTTTTCTTGCTGTCATTTGTTGAAGAGTTAACCCTAATTTTTTATACTATAGACAGTGATGCACTTAATTTTTATTTAATTAAATAATGAACCAAAAAATATAGACTTATAACATGCAAAAATATACAAATTCCCCTAACTCTCAAAGTTTTTCTGTCTTTCTGACTATGCAACAAGAGTCATTACAAATTCATCAAAGCTAGTCGTTAACTTTCTCATGGGAACAATGTTGATACTCTGAGCTAAATTTGACATTTAACCATTTAAAACATAACGTTATACAATATGTCATTTGATAGATGAAAACAGTGACTTTCTATATGTTATAGGTATATATAATTAAACGTAAGAGAGAACTATTCATGAATTCTGAAAGAGAGGATGTGACAGGTAAGTGTGGCAGGAGGGGTTTGATTTTGTATTTGATAGCTCTGTAACCAAACAAAATTGAAGATTATAAAAATTTTGGTTTGTCTGAGCAATGACAATTTTATGGAGAGTAATTTACATTTAATTTCATACTTTTTCGAGGGGTGGTGGATAAAATAGGGAAGGTGACATGCTAAGAGAAAGTGTCACATGGGTCACACTAGGGGAAATTCAGGATTTTTATATATATTGTCTTTTAGAATTAAGAACTTAAAACTATTAAAATAAGGCCTGTTCTGTTTGGTGTATGAACTTTTACCCTCCATTTGCAGCCAATTGTTGAGTATGGGATTTATATTAGAGAGCCTTAGCCTTCATTTTTTATTCTCCTCTTCCAATGTCTCCTGTTCTCATTATTTTACATCCTCCAAGGGATCTTGTTTCTTGCCAACAGTGTTCTGTAGCAGTGTTGGCCCTAATGGATACAAATTTTATTGGTTGAGTTTCTCATCCTTTACCAGGTTTTTCTTCCTGTCTTTTCATGGTTTCCAGGGAATCTGTAGGTAGATGTGGAGCCTTACATTTTTTATGCCTCAATCAGTTTCTTATTCTCTCTCACTTTCCCATGAGGAATTTCTTACTTTATGGTGGTTTTTCACCCCAAGTTTTGGGACGACCGAATTGGACATCTCAGATGCTTCTTATCTTGTTTGGCTCTGTTCCAACAAGCCTCCTACAGCCATCCTCTTCTCCTCCTTCAGGAGGTGGTGTGTTTGGATTGGTTGGTGCAACTTGGAGGAGTTGCATCTCACACCCATTGTGCTTTTGAATCATTGCCTATGTATTTCTTCAGGGCCCAAACTTCTAGTTTTTGAGACATGGAGCAATTGGTATCACATGCCATAGCCTCCTTCCCTCACTGTGTGGGAGACTGTCTCTCTTTTTGGGATCTTGGGCTTCCATGGAATCCCATATCCCCATGTTTTTTGCTCATTTGAGATGAATACAATGGTCTGTATGTTCTCTGGATCTTTGCTTTGAATCCCTTGTCCTCAACCATTCTCCTTCTTTATTCAAAGATTTCACCTGGTGACTTAATAAAACCACTCCCATAGTGGGTATGCCTCTTCCTTTTTTCTGTTTCCAGATACCTCTTTGATGAGAAGGGGGACATCTGAATTCGGGTTGTTGGTAATACAACATAGCATAACTTTAAATCCATCTCTTAGAACTTTTTACCATACTTTGACACCATCAAAATCCAATAAGCTTTTGTGGAACAATTTCCAGAACTTTCCCAGCTTTGAAAACACAGTGGGGTAGGGTTTATCAACTTGTTGACAGTATAATTATTAAAACAAGAATTGTCTAAAGTATTATAAAATACTTATGCTATGGCTTAATAAGAACTATTGGCCAATCCAATAAACTTGGAAGGTATTTGAATGTTGGTCAATAAGTGGACGTTTCCCACAGAGTCTATTTGAATCTTGGCTCTGAAAATACAGAGGGGTAGGATTTATCTTCTTGTTTACACAGTACAGTAGTTGCAACAAGAATCGTTTAAAGTACTATATAAAAGTGAGGAAATATTTATGATATGGCTCTGTACAAAGTTATATTTGATCCAGTAAACTTGGGTAGTCAAGATTTAGTGGTAATATAGGTGTGAAAGTGCTTCTGAACATCCTGTTTCCTATTTTACCATGCTTATACAGTAACCAATAAATGTGTAGTTTCCAATATTTTGTAAGGTAGAGTGAGGTTTTGGTTACAATACATTACATATTTGTGTGTATATGTGTGTGTGTGTGTGTGTGTGTATATATATATATATATATATTATTACTATTTACAAATAAATATTTAAGTTTCAGTTATTTTCTTAA